CAGTAGAGGAGGCGCAGGGACCACCCGGGGGGCTGGAGGTCCCCCCCGCACTCCAGCAGGGTCACGGCATCTGACTCCATGAGTCAGAATGCTGAACAATTGCAAATAAATCTCTACCATATTACACTAATATTATATTTTATTACATTAATACTATATTATATCTCAATATTACTATATTACATCTTATTAATAATATATTATATCTCTTTAATACTGTATTATATCACAATAATTCTATATTATATCTCATTAATACTAAACTATATCTCATTAATACTGTATTACATCTCATTAATGCTATCTCTCTTGAATTCTCTATTATATCTCATTTATGCGATATTACAACTATACTAAGGAGATACTAAAAGAATTCTGTACAAAAGACCCCAAAATATCCTGAAGAAACCCCTCGAGTGTCTGACAGAGCCAGGTCACGGCCTGGAGCCCTTTGGGCAAGGAAGCAAAACAATCCTCAGCAGCAGCCAGCGGGTGAATCCCTGGAGGGGAACGATCCCCCCGACACATTCCACATGTGCAGAAACAGCAGGAGCAGCGATGAGAGATGGGAATTGTTTCATCTTCTTCTTCTCCCTGTGCTGCTCCAGGAAAAATAATGAGAGAGAGAGACAGAGAGAGAGGGAGAGAGAGAGAGAGAGGGAGAGAGGGAGAGAGGGAGAGAGGGAGAGAGAGGGAGAGAGACAATGGTGTCTGACTCTTTGCAGGGAACGAGAATGGCACAGCCAGGACCCGTGCCCATCTCCCCTTTGTCCCGCAGGGCTCCGGGCGGCCGTGACCCATCTGGAGTGCGGGGGGGACCTCCAGCCCCCCAGGGGGTCCCTGCGCCTCCTCTGCCGAGGGTCCGGGTTTGATTTCGGGAGAGTTGAAATGTTCTGGATCCGCCAGAGACCCAGGCAGGGGTTGCAATACATCGCAAGGATCTACTACACTGGAGGTTACACCGACTATGCGCCCTTGGTCAAGGGCCGGTTCAGGATCTCCAGGGACAATGGGCAGAGCTCGGTGACGCTGACCATGAACAACTTCAAGGACGACGATTCCGCCACCTATTTTTGTGCCAAATAGTACAGTAGTAGTTTTGGTGGTGGTGGTGCTGGTTATGGTGTTGATGGTGGTTGTGGTCCCAAGCCCTCTCCTCTCTCTTCCCAAATATCTCAGAATTCTCCTATGCATCCCTAAAATCCCCACCCCTGTTTCTCAAATCTTGACCATTTCCCCCTAAACTCCACCCCTGCTGCCCCAGCTTTTGGTTTCCCCCAATTTTGCCCATTTCTCCCCCGTCTGACCCTTCCCCTCCGTCCCAGTGTGGCACGGGGATCGCTCCAGGGCCCTTTGCACACAAAGCTTTTTGTGCAGCCGGCGCTCTGCCGCAGCGCCCCGAGGCTGAGCTGCCCTCTGCCAAACACAGATGTTCACCATGACCAAAACCAGGAACTTTCGGTTTCCTTTCATGCCCCGGCCGGGCCCCAGCAGCTGCCGGGGAGGAAGTGGGGGGAGGCTGCGGAGCCCCAAAATCGCGGCGTCTGATCCTCCCTCTGTCCCACCCTTGCTCCCACCTGGGGCTTCACTTCTCCATCAGCGGCTGCGGTGTCTGGGGCTGCTCCTTGGGGCTGGGCTTGAATCCTCTCTGGGAGCTCTGGACATGGTGACGATGCTGGTGGTGGCCCCAAACCCCCATCCCTGGCTCCCCAAATGTCCCAAAATCCCCAAATCGTGCCCCAAATCCCACGCCTTGACCTCATTCTTGACCTTCTCCCCCGGTGTCAACCATCTCTGCCTCAACTCTGGACTTTCCCCCAGTTTTGCCCATTTAACCCAAATCTCCCCCAGCTCCCAGGCCCTGATTGGAGGAGGCCTGAACTGGAGGCCAGGGGTGAAGTTTTTGGGGCCAATGGTTGAGATTTGGTGCAGGAGCAGGGGAGGTTCTGGCGTCAGTGCTGACCATTGGGGCAAATGGGGGAGATTTGGGACAAAGGGTCAAGGGCTGAGATTCGGAGGGAGAGTCTGGGTTTGGGGACTGGGAGGCTCTAAAAAAAGGACTCAGAAAAAAACCACCATGACCAACATCATCCCAATCAATGTCTTTACCAGCAGCAGGAACACAACAACCAGCCCAACTTTTGGCACAGAAATAGGTGGCGGAATCCTCGTCCTTGAGGTTGTTCATGGTCAGCGTTACTGAGCTCTGCCCGTTGTCCCTCTAGATCCTGAACCGGCCCTTGACCAATGGCGCCTAGTAGATGTAAGCACCAGTGTTGCTGATGTAGGCGACCCATTCCAGCCCCTGCCCGGATCTCTGTCGAACCCAGTTCATGGCAAAATTCCCAAAATCAAACCCGGCCCATTGGCAGAGGAGGCGCAGGGACCCCCCGGGGGGCTGGAGGTTCCCCCCCGCACTCCAGCAGGGTCACGGCCGCCCGGAGCCCTGCGGGACAATGGGGAGATGGGGATCATAAACCTGATTGGTTCGGAAGGGGAAAAGGGTAGGACCACCTGGGAGGGGCAGCAGGAGCAGCAGGGCCAGGAGCCGGAGGGAGCTCGAGGCCGTGGCCGTGATGTGCCGGGGTTGGGGATGGGTAATGCTGGTTTTAATTTTGAAATCAATGTTGAACACTCAGGTCAAGGTGTGCAATTAATTAATGAGAATATTGAGTTAACTTGTAGGGTTTGAGGGACCTCAGGATTCCAGAAAAATCTGATGGAGAATTGGGACCAAACCAGTGGAGTTATGAGGGAAATTGGTAAAGATTTGGGGTTGGGCCCCGGGCAGCCGTGACCCTGCTGGAGTGCAGGGGGGACCTCCAGCCACCCGGGGGGTCCCTGCGCCTCTTCTGCCGAGGGTCCGGGTTCAGTTTTGGACAATTTGGGATCAGCTGGGTGAGCCAGAGACCCGGGAAGGGGCTGGAGTGGGTTGCAGGCATTGACAGCAATGGATACACCAGATACCTGTCTGTGTTCAAGGGCCAGTTCACGACCTCCAGGGACAACGGGCAGAGCTCGGTGACACTGACCATGAACAACCTCAAGGACGAGGATTCTGGATCCTATTTCTGTGCCAAATGTGCTTCTGCTTGTTGGGGTGCTTATGTTCCTGGTGCTGCTGTTGGACCCCATCCCCATCCCTGTGTGCCCCCCCATCCCTGTTGCCCCGATCCTTCCCTCCAACCCTTGACCCCATTGGTGACCCCCACAGACCCAAATCTGGCCCATTTTCCCCAAATCTCAGCCATTTGCCCCCAGGTTTGGAGACCTAGGCAGAAACTTGGAGCCCAGAGCTGAGGTTTGGGGCCAAGAGCTGAGAATGTGGGGCAGAGCCAGCTCAGAGCTGGGACACGGGGACAGGAATGGAGTCAGGGGCTGGGGATTGGGGAAGGGTCTGGGGAATGGGGACAGGGAGGGACACAGCCATGGCGAGGCAGCAATTCCATAGGCATCATTAACAGCACCATTATCATCAGTACCCCTGGCACAGAAATAGGATCCGGAGTCCTCGTCCTTGAGGTTGTTCATGGTCAGCATCACCGAGCTCTGCCCGTTGACCCTGGAGATCGTGAATCGGCCCTTGACCGATGGACTGTAGTAGGTGTAAGCACCACTGCTCCAGATCCCCGCAACGTATTCCAGCACCTGCCTGAGTCTCTGGCGGATCCATTGCATGGGAAAACTCCCAAAACTGAACCTGGACCCTCTGCAGAGGAGGCGCAGGGACCCCCCCGGGGGGCTGGAGGTCCCCCCCGCACTGTAGCAGGGTCACGGCCACCTGGATCCCTGGTGGACAAAGGGGAGATGGGGATGAGGCCGGAGCTCAACCCTTGACCCAAATCCTAACCCTGGGCCCCAAACTGGGACCCTTGGAGTTCATCAACCTCCTCCTCCTGGGCCTGCTGGTCCTCCCAGGTGGGTCCCATTCCATTTCCCAACTGGCCAAACCCACTTTGAGTCCCACAGCAAATCAGGTTTCCCATCCCCATCTCCCCTTTGTCCCGCAGGGCTCCGGGCGGCCGTGACACTGCTGGAGTGCGGGGGGGACCTCCAGCCCCCCGGGGGGTCCCTGCGCCTCCTCTGCCAAGGGTCTGGGTTCAATTTTGGAAGCTACGACATGTTCTGGATCCGGCAGAGATCCGGGCAGGGGCTGGAGTTCATTGCAGGAATCTGGAACACTGGTGGTAGCACCTGGTACGCGCCGTTGGTCAAGGGCCGGTTCACGATCTCCAGGGACAACGGACAGAGCTCGGTGACGCTGACCATGAACAACCTCAAGGACGAGGATTCCGGATCCTATTACTGCACCAAATGTTACACCAATGGTTGTGGTCCTTCTTATATTTATGCTGCTTTTATTGACATTGTCAGTGGTGGACCCACCCCAGCCGTTGAAAACCCACAAACATCCAAAAATTCCGACATTCTACCCTCAAATCTTTACTCCTGGCACTGAATCCTGAACATTTTCCCCCAACTCCCCCATCATTGCCTCACCTCTCACATTTCCATGGGGCTTTCATCATTTGGCCCAAATCTCAAAGGTTCATCCCCAAAACTCTGCCCTTTGTGCCCCAGATGTCAGCGGGGTTAACTTGTGACCATTGGCCCCAAACTCAGCTGGCTATGCCCCAAATCTCAGCTCCTGGACCCAAACCGCAGCTCTTGGCTCCAAGTCCCAAACAATGTCCCAAAACCTGGGTGCAAATGGTCGAGATTTGGGAAAAACTGCCCAGATTTGGGTCCGTGGGGGGTCACCAATGGGGTCAAGGGCTGGAGGGAAGGACCTGGGGAACAAGGATGGGGACAGGCCTAAAATTGAACCAGCAGCATGAGCCTCCCAACCCCAACCATCATAGGCGTTTTTGGCAGAGAAATAGGATCCGGAATCCTCGTCCTTGAGGTTGTTCATGGTCAGCGTCACCGAGCTCTGCCCATTGTCCCTGGAGATCATGACCCAGCCCTTGACCGATGGCGCGTATCTGGGGGTGGAACCATCACCGTTGGTCCCCGCAACGTATTCCAGGCCCAGCCCAGGTCTCTGGTGGATCCAGAACATTGCAGATTTTGCGAAATTGAAGCCAGAGGCGTGGCACACCAGCGTCAGGGACTCCCCTTGGGGGCTGGAGGTCCCCCCCGCACTCCAGCAGGGTCACGGCCTCCCTGAGGCCTGCGGGACAAAGGGGAGATGGGGATGGGGAGATACAAAAGTCAGGCTGAGGATCCAAATTAATTATTTGGTGGATTGGGGCTGTTTGCTGGGTTGAAGGCACTTTACCATACAGGAAAACCCTGATGGAGATTTGGGGAGAAACAAAGGGAATTGGGGGCAAAACCAGTGAAGGTTTGGGGATGGGGGAGCTGCCGTGACCCTGCTGGAGTGCGGGGGGGACCTCCAGCCCCCCGGGGGGTCCCTGCGCCTCCTCTGCCGAGGGGCCGGGTCCAGTTTTGGGTGTTATGCCATGATCTGGGCTCGAGAGGGGCCTGGGCTGGGGCTGGAATGGCTCACAGGGATTGATAACACTGGTGGGTTCACCTTCTACGCGCCGTCGGTCAAGGGCCGGTTAAGGATCTCCAGGGACAACGGGCAGAGCTCGGTGACGCTGACCATGAACAACCTCAAGGACGACGATTCCGGATCCTATTTCTGTGCCAAATATGCAGGCGCTGGTTGGGCTGTTGCTGCAAATCCTTTTGTCCCCAACCGCATTGCTGTTTCCCCACTTGTCCCCATTTTCCAGATTCTTTCCCCAAACCCCAGCCCCTGACGCCATTCCTGTCCCCGTGTCCCAGCTCTGAACTGGCTCTGCCCCAAATCTCAGCACCTGGCCCCAAATCTCAGCTCTTGGTCCCAAATCTCAGCTCCCAGCCCCAAATCAGGGCCGGTTTCCCCCTGAGCTCAGCCTCGTCCCTCCAATCCCAACCATTGCCCCCAGACTTGTCCAGTTTTACCCCAAATCTCCCCTGCTAAAACCGAGTCACAGCCACGGACCCAAATCTGGCCATGGCCTCACATCTGGAATTTTGGGCAAAATTTGAATTCTTGACCCCTCAGCTCAGCCTTGGGCCCACATCCAGACATTTCAGTGACATTTGGAGATCGAGGGCACTGAGTGTGGCCCAGAGGGGACATTTGGGGCAGAGCAAGAGCAGGGCTGGGACAGAGGGTCAGCAAGGGGGTTTGGGGGAAAGGTCTGGGGCACGGGGATGCTGACCGGGGTCCAGTGATTAGATCAGTTGGATCAAGAGCAGCAGCAGCTCCACAACAAGTATCACCACTACTTTTGGCACAGAAATAGGATCCGGAGTCCTCGTCCTTGAGGTTGTTCACGGTCAGTGTCACCGAGCTCTGCCCGTTGTCCCTGGAGATCGTAAACCGGCCCTTGACCGACGGCGCGTACTCGGTGTAGCCACCAGTGTTGCTGATATCTGCAATGTATTCCAGCCCCTGCCTGGGGCTCTGGTTCACCCAGAACATTTTATAGCTCCAGAAAGTGCACCCGGACCCTGGGCAGAGGAGGTGCAGGGACCCCCCGGGGGGCTGGAGGTCCCCCCCCACCCCAGCAGAGTCACGGCCGCCCGGAGCTCTGTGGGACAAAGGGGAGATGGGGATGGGAAACCTGATTGGTCCAAAGCCCCAAACTGGGGGTGGTTGGCTGGAAAAAGGGGCCGGACCCACCTGGGAGTCCAAGCTGGAGCAGCAAGATGAAGCGGATGGGGAGAGCCAAGGGCCAAATTCTGGGTCAAAGAATCAGGATTTTGGGGTCAGTGGTTGAGCTTTGTCCATCCCCATCTCCCGTTTGTCTCGCAGGGCTCTGGGCGGCCATGACTCTGCTGGAGTGCGGGGGGGACCTCCAGCCCCCCGGGGGTCCCTGACATTGCTGTGCCGAGGGTCCGGGTTCAGATTCGGTGATTATGGAATGTACTGGATCCGCCAGAGACCCGGGCAGGGTTTGGAATACATCACAGCGATCCACTACAATGGCGTCACCATCTATGCGCCATCATTCAAGGGCCGGTTCAGGATTTCCAGGGACAACGGGCACAGCTCGGTGACACTGACCATGAACAACCTCGGCCCTTAACCGACGGCGCGTAGTCGGTGTTGATACCATCAGCATTGATCCCAGCAACGAATTCCAGCCCCTGCCCGGGTCTCTGGTGGATCCAGAACATTCCAAAACTCCCGAAACTGAACCCAGACCCTCGGCAGAGGAGGCGCAGGGACTCCCCGGGGAGCTGGAGGTTGCCCCCGCACTCCAGCAGGGTCACGGACGCCCGGAGCCCTGCAGGACAAAGCGGAGATGGGGATGAGGCCAAAGCTCAACCCTTGACCCAAATTCTGACTCTTGGCCCAAAACTGGGACCTTTGTCATTCTCTTCCTTATCCTGGTCACCCTCCAGAATGAATCCCATACTTTTTTCCAACTGGCCAGGATGACTGGGGGACTCTCGACAAATCAGGTTTCTCATCCCCATCTCCCCTTTGTCCCGCAGGGCTCCGGGCGGCCGTGACCCTGCTGGAGTGTGGGGGGGACCTCCAGCCCCCCTGGGGGTCCTTGACGTTGCTCTGCCGAGGGTCCGGGTTCAGTTTCGGGAGTTTTGCCCTACAATGCGTCCGTCAGAGACCCGGGCAGGGGCTGGAATTCGTCCCCTACATCCGCAGCGGTGGTAGCACCTGGTACGCGGATTCGGTGAAGGGCCAGTTCATGATCGCCAGGGACAACGGGCAGCGTCTGATGACGCTGACCATGATCAACCTCAAGGTCGGGGATTCCGCCAATTATTTCTGTGCCAAAAATTGTAATGATTGTTGTGCTCCTGCTGCTGGTGACTATATTGACTGTGGTGATATTGGTCATGGTGGTTTAGGCCCTGCTCCCATTTTTGGGTCCCCCCTGTCCTCAAACCCAGACCCTCCCCCCAAACCTCAGCCCTTGACCCCTTGTCCCCATTTGCCCCAATGGTCAGCACTGACCCCCAACCCTCCCCTGCTCCTGCCCCAAAACTCAACCATTGGCCCCAAACCTTCATCCCTGGCCTCCAGTTGAGGCCTCCTCCAATCAGGGCACGGGAACTGGGGGAGATTTGGGTGAAATGGGCAAAATTTGGGGAAAGTCGAAAGTTGGGGCAAAGATGGTGGAGACTGTAAAGGAAGGTCTAGAAGGGGGTCAAGGTTTGAGATTTGGGGCAGGATTTGGGGATTTTGGGACAGTTTCGGGAGCCAGGGATGGGGTTTTGGGGCCACCACCAGCATCATCACCATGTCCAGAGCTCCCAGAGAGGATTCCAGCCCAGCCCCAAGGAGCAGCACCAGACACCGCGGCCGCTGAGGGAGAAGTGAAGCCCCAGGTGGGAGCATGGGGGGGACGGAGGGAGGAGCAGACGCCGCAATTTTGGGGCTCCGCAGCCTCCCCCCACTTCCTCCCCGGCAGCTGCCGGGGCCCGGCTGGGGCAGGAAAGGAAACAGAAAGTTCCTGGTTTTGGTCACCGTGAACATCTGTGTTTGGCAGAGGGCAGCTCAGCCTCGGGGCGCTGCGGCAGAGCGCCGGCTGCACAAAAAGTTTTGTGTGCAAAGGGCCCTGGAGCGATCCCCGTTCCACACTGGGACGGAGGGGAAGGGTCAGACGGGGGAGAAATGGGCAAAATTGGGGGGAAACTGTGAATTGGGGAAGTGATGGTGGAGTTTGGGGAAATGGTCAAGAGTTGAGAAAGAGGGGTGGGGATTTTGGGGAAGGATCAGAGAATTCTGAGATATTTGGGAAGAGAGAGGAGAGGTCTCAGGACCACAACCACCATCAACACCATAACCAGCACCACCACCACCAAACTACTACTCTAACATTTGGCACAGAAATAGGTGGCGGAATCCTCGTCCTTGAAGTTGTTCATGGTCAGCGTCACCGAGCTCTGCCCGTTGCCCCTGGAGATCCTGAACCGGCCCTTGACCGACGGCGCGTAGTCGGTGTAACCTCCACTGTAGTAGATCCTTGAGACATATTGCAACCCCTGCCCAGGTCTCTGGCGGATTCAGAACATGTCGTAGCTTCCGAAACTTAACTTGGACCCTCGGCAGAGGAGGCACAGGGACGCCCGGGGCGCTGGAGTTCCCCCCCGCACTCCAGCAGAGTCACAGCCGCCCGGAGCCCCGCAGGGCAAAGGGGAGAAGGGGATGAAGGAAAACATCCACCCAAATGTTGATTCTTGCATGCAGACCCTGATGTTGCCCAAAAATTGGGACCCTTGGACCTCACCATCTTCCTCTTGCAACTCCTGCCAGTCATCCCGGGTGGATCCCACACCCTTTTTTCGGAATGGCAGTGCCAACTTTGACCGCACAGCCAATCCATCCCCTCATCCCCATCTCCCCTTTGTCCCGCAGGGCTCCGGGCGGCCGTGACCCTGCTGGAGTGCGGGGGGGACCTCCAGCCACCCGGGGGTTCCCTGCCCCTCCTCTGCTGAGGGTCTGGGTTCAGTTTTGGCAATTTTGCCATTAACTGGGTGCGCCAGAGACACGGGCAGGGGCTGGAATTCGTGGCGTACATAAACATTTGTGGAACCACTTACCACGCGCCATCGGTCAATGGACAGTTCACGATCTCCCAGGACAGCGGGCACAGCTCGGTGATGCTGACCATGAACAACCTCAAGGTCGGGGATTCCGGATCCTATTTCTGTGCCAGGGCTGCTGATGGTTATGGTGCTGCTGCTAATGGTGACGATGGCCCTGATGGTCTCAAGCTCCTGCTTTTCATCCCACTCCCATCATTGAGTCTCCAGAGTTCTGCTTTTCATCCCAAACCTCACCATTGACCCAGCCCTTGACCCTTTGTCTCCATTTGCCCCAATGGTCAACACTGACCCCAAACCCTCCCCTGTTCCTGCCCCAAAACTCAACCATTGGCCCCAAAACTTCACCCCTGGGCTCCAGTTTAGGTCTGCTCCAACCAGGTCTTGGGAGCTGGGGGAGATTTGGGTGGAATGGGAAAAACTGGGAGAAATTCGGGAGTTGGGGCAGCAGGGGCGGAGTTTGGGGTAAAATGGCCGAGATTTGATGAAAAGGGCTGAGATTTGGTGGAGAGATCAGAGGACTGTGGGATATTTGGAAACAAAGTATAGGGATTTGGGACCAAGATCAGAACCAGCAATAAATGCCACAACAACAGTACCCTCACTATTGGCACAACCACCATCAACACATCTGGCACAGAAATAGGATCCGGAATCCTCGTCCTTGAGGTTGGTCATGGTCAGCGTCACCGAGCTCTGCCCGTTGTCCCTGGAGATCCTGAACCGGCCCTTGAACGATGGCGCGTAGGCGATGCTGCCACCATTGTCCTTGATCCCTGCCATGAATTCCAGCCCCTGCCCAGGGGCAGGTCTCTGGCACACCCAGAACATGGAGAAACTCCCAAAATTAAACTCAGACCCTCAGCAGAGGAGGCGCAGGGACCCTCCGGGGGGCTGGAGGTGCCCCCCGCACTCCAGCAGGGTCACGGCCACCCGGAGCCCCGCGGGACAAAGGGGAGATGGGCACCAGGACCAGCTGTGCCATTCTCATTCCCAGCACGAAGTCCGACACCATTCCCTCTCTCTCTCTGTCTCTCTCTCCCTCTCCCTCTCTCTCTGTCTCTCTCTTTCTGTCACAGGATTTTTCCTGGAGCAGCACAGAGAGAAGATGAAGATGAAACAATTCCCATCTCTCCTCACTGCTCCTGCTGTTTCTGCACATGTGGAAAGTGTCAGGGGTATTGTTCCCCTCCAGGGATTCATCATTTGGGTTCTGCTGCAGATTGTTTTGTTTCCTTGGCCAATGGGCTCCAGGCCGTGACCTGGCTCTGTCAGACTCTCACGGGGATTCTTTAGGATTTTTTCGTGTCTTTTGTACGGAATTCTTTTAGTATCTCTTTAGTATAGATGTAATATAGCATTAATGAGATATAATATAGAATTAATGAAATATAATATAGTATTAATGTGATATAATATAGAATTAATGAGATGTAATATAGCATTAATGAGATGTAATATAGTATTAATGGGATATAATATAGAATTAATGAGATATAATAGAGTATTAATGAGATGTAATATACCATTAACGTGATGTAATATAGTATTAAAGAGATGTAATATAGTTTTAATGAGATATAATATAGTATTAATGAGTTATAATATAGAATTATTGAGATATAGTATTAATGAGATATAATATATTATTAATGAGATGTAATAAAGTAATAATGAGATATAATATTGTATTAATGCAATAAAATAAAATATTAATGTAATATAGTAGAGATTTAATAGAGCAATTGTTCAGCATTCTACATAATGGAGTCAGATGCCGTGACCCTGCTGGAGTGCGGGGGGCACCTCCAGTCCCCCAGGGGGTCCCTGCGCCTCCTCTGCCGAGGGTCCGGGTTCAGTTTTGGGAATTTTGGGATGCAGTGGGTCCGCCAGAGAGCCGGGCAGGTGACGGAGTGGCTCGGGGGATCAAGAGCGATGGTTCAAGCACCGGCTATGCACCCTCAGTCAAGGGCCGGTTCAGGATCTCCAGGGACAACGGGCAGAGCTCGGTGACGCTGACCATGAACAACCTCAAGGACGAGGATTCTGCCACCTATTTTTGTGCCAAATCTGTTAATGTTTGGTATGATCCTGCTGGTGTTGTTTATAGATTTGAATGTGCCCCCCATCCCCGTGTCCCCCCCTGTCCCCGTTGCCCAGACCCTTCCCCCAAACCCCCAGCCCACACCCAGCCCTTGACCATTGATCCCAACCTTGCTCTGCCTCAGCCCCAATTCTCACCCGCTGACCCCAAACCACAACTCCTGACCACAAATCTCCTCTTTGTGCACCAAACTTCGAATTAAAAGTGGAGATTTAAAGCCAAGGTTAAGACTTGGGTCAACTTTCTTGCCAGGTATGGAGAATTTGGGGAAGAACCACTCTGGGGTTGGGACAGAGTCAGGAATGTGCAAAAGGGTTTGGGTTTTAGGGAAGGGTCTTGGATTTGGGAGGCGGTCGGGACATGGCCACAGGGTCCGGACCAAAACCATCCACACCAGCACCAGTACCCCAATTGTTATAAGCAGATTTCCCGCGGAAATAGGATCCGGAATCCTCGTCCTTTAGGTTGCTCATGGTCAGCGTCACCGAGCTCTGCCCGTTGTCCCTGGAGATCCTCACCCAGCCCCTGACTGATGGCGCATAGCCGGTGTCAGCACCATCGTTCCAGATCCCCGCGACCCACTCCAGCCCCTGCCTGCGTCTCTGTCGGGCCCATTGCATGGAAAAACTCCCAAAACTGAACCCGGCCCCTTGGCAGAGGAGGCGCAGGGATCCCCCGGGGGGCTGGAGGTCCCCCCCGCACTCCAGCAGGGTCACGGCCGCCCGGAGCCCTGCGGGACAGAGGGGAGATGGGGATGAGGAGATGCAAAAGTCAGGCTGAGGTGTCCAATTAATTAATGGGTGGATGGGGGTAATTGCAGGGTTTAAGGAACTTTTCAATACAGGAAACCTCTGCTAGACATTTGAGGCAAGAAAAAAGTATTCTGGGGCAAAACCAGTGACGGTTTGGGGATGGGGGAGCGGCCGTGACCCTGCTGGAGTGCAGGGGGCACCTCCAGCTCCCCGGGGGGTCCCTTCGCCTCCTCTGCCGAGGGTCTGGGTTCAGTTTCGGGAGTTCCTCCATGTTCTGGATATGCCAGAGACCAGGGCAGGGGCTGGAATACATCACGGGGATCAAGA